AGCCCAACACTATATTGGCCAGAAGAGATGAAGAACATTTCACCAACAGAGTATTTGGAACGAGGGGCGTCCAAATCAAACCGGGACCTTTCATTTTCCAGCTATAAAAAGGGATGCCGGCGTGGCGGTACTACTCGCAGTAGTAAGTGGCAAGTGTGCCCTATTACTGATAGGGGGTGCACTTGTCATGGGCCAGTCCACAGACCGTCAATCAAGATGGCGGACACCAGTGTTAGTGCATGGAACAGCATGGTGGTGACTTTTCTTGTGAACGAAGGCATAAAACCCTCGGAGATCTACAGAAGACTACAAGCGCAGAGACGCCTAGTAAGACATCTGAATGGTGGAAACATTTAAAAGATGGCGGTACGTCCACTAGTGGCGATCCCAGCAATGGTGGTTCCCTGCCCAGAGCAGTCATTCCAGTGAACATTCAGCGTGTGGAACGCTTGATCCCGGATGCAGAACCTGACGAATCTTTCTGTGGGAACGGTGAACCCAATGATGAGGGAGGGAAGCCGGCTGTCCTATGATGGGTCAGGCTGACAAGTCTTTCTGTGCCGAAGATTTCCAGGCATTGGTCCCATGCTGGGATAAGTGTATAAATGTAGCAGGGGAGGATGTCAGAAAATAAATACAGTTTGCACTTTTTGAAATTTGTTCTTTTACCCTATAAACTCAAAAGTCCCGGTTTGATTTGAGCGCCCCTCGTACACGGCCCAACACTACAGGCTACAAACATTCAACTGGAAGAGGAAATATGAGGGAGACCTTTGCACTCTACAAAGTGTATGGAGATTTCTGTCCTCAGCACATTCTCCCAAAAGGATTTTGGCTTCCTCAGGTAAGTTTTGGCAAACTCCAGTCTGGCTTCCAATATGTTTCTGTGCCAGCAGTGGGGTCCTCCTGGGTCTCCTCCCATATTTCTGTGCCAGCAGTGGGGTCCTCCTGGGTCTCCTCCCATATTTCTGTGCCAGCGGTGGGGTCCTCCTGGGTCTCCTACCATATTTCTGTGTCAGCGGTGAGGTCCTCCTGGGTCTCCTCCCATATTTCTGTGTCAGCGGTGAGGTCCTCCTGGGTCTCCTCCCATATTTCTGTGTCAGCGGTGGGGTCCTCCTGGGTCTCCTCCCATATTTCTGTGTCAGCGGTGGGTCCTCCTGGGTCTCCTCCCATATTTCTGTGTCAGCGGTGGGGTCCTCCTGGGTCTCCTCCCATATTTTCTGTGTCAGCGGTGGGGTCCTCCTGGGTCTCCTCCCATATTTCTGTGTCAGCGGTGGGGTCCTCCTGGGTCTCCTCCCATATTTCTGTGTCAGCGGTGGGGTCCTCCTGGGTCTCCTCCCATATTTCTGTGTCAGCGGTGGGGTCCTCCTGGGTCTCCTCCCATATTTCTGTGTCAGCGGTGGGGTCCTCCTGGGTCTCCTCCCATATTTCTGTGTCAGCGGTGGGGTCCTCCTGGGTCTCCTACCATATTTCTGTGTCAGCGGTGGGGTCCTCCTGGGTCTCCTTGCATATTTCTGTGTCAGCGGTGGGGTCCTCCTGGGTCTCCTACCATATATCTGTGTCAGCGGTGGGGTCCTCCTAGGTCTCCTCCCATATTTCTGTGTCAGCGGTGGGGTCCTCCTGGGTCTCCCCCCATATTTCTGTGTCAGCGGTGGGGTCCTCCTGGGTCTCCCACACCATATTTTTTGTGTCAGCAGTGGGGTCCTCCTGGGTCTCCCACCATATTTCTGTGTCAGCAGTGGGGTCCTCCTGGGTCTCTTACCATAGCACCCCTTTTAATTCAAATGGCGACGTATAGTCCGAGCGGACATAGTTGTACCTGAAGGTCAGCTTGGATTTGTCTGGAAGTTGATCGATGTTCTTTATCCACCATTCCAACAATCCTTGGTTGCAATCTTTGATCAATTTTTCTCTTTCGTCCATGTCCAGGGAGATTAGCTACAGCACCACAGGCTGGAAACGTCTGGACAATGTTGCGCACAGTGGACACAGGAACATGAAGATCTCTGGAGATGGACTAGTAACCTTGAGATGGTCCATGCTTTTCCACCATTATTGTTTTTCAATCCTCAGACAATTCTTTGCTGCTCTTTCTCTCCTCCATGCTCCATGTGGCACACAGAGACACCCAACAGAAATGTGGAGGCCATTTTTCACCATATTACCCGGTTGTCGGTGTAATTTCTATATTGTCAGCTCCTGGTCACGGAGGAGTTTAGTTACAAATTACAGGAAAATCACAAACTTAGAACGCAATTATTTCTTACAATTTTCCGAAGGTGCCAATAATTTTCTCCAGTCCATTTTTAGCGTTTTGCGTGGAATGCGTCAGTTTGGCTTTTTGTTTCTTCACTTTTATGTGTCACCGATACAAACCAAAGAAAGAAACATGAGAATGCCGAAACATTTGGAGTGGTGCATTATCTGACGGAAATGCCAGGGTGCAGGGGCGGACTGACCATATGGAAACTTGGGCACTGCCTGAGGGCCCGGGGTCAGTAGGGGGCCCCGTGAGATGCCCCTGGTACCGTTTTCATAGGCTTTTTTGAGTTTGGGCAAGGACACAGGGGCCCCATGATCCCCTATTGCCCGGGGGCCCCATGAGTTGTCAGTCCGCCCCTGCCAGGGTGCCAATATTTTTGTCCATGACTGTATATATCTATTATATACACCTCTATACCCTATTGCCTGCATTCCTGAAACGCACAAAACCTACGTACACCACTGCCTCCTAGATCGGGGACTCCAAACTTTGCCAGCATTTTGGGAAAAATAAAAACTCCATTTTGGCCGTCCCTGACGACCTCCGCCCAGTGATGGCGCTATAACCAAGCCAGCACACAGTCTCCGCCTTCACGCCCAGGGGCAGACTGACAACTCATGGGGCCCCCGGGCAATAGGGGATCATGGGGCCCCTGTGTCCTTGCCCAAACTCAAAAAAGCCTATGAAAAAGGTACCAGGGGCATCTCATGGGGCCCCCTACTGACCTCGGGCCCTCGGGCTCCAGCAGTGCCCGAGTTTCCAAATGGTCAGTCCGCCCCTGTTCGCGCCATATTGAATTATTTGCCCTTTAACCTCTTGCCGTCTGCCTGCTGTTTATAAACGGCAGGGCGGTGGCAGTCCAAGGTCGGGTTGCCGTTCCTAAACGGCACCCGCCTTTTCTAGCTGTGCGCGCTCCCTAGGAGCGCGCACCACCGCGATCCGGTGTCCGCTGTGTCCTCCGGACACAGTGAAACACCGATCGTCGGACGGGACCTCTGTACGAGGTCCCGGTCATGTGATCACTGATTGGCGAATCAGTGATCACATGCAAAGTAGTGAGCAAGATGTCACTTGTGACATCATTGCTTACTACGTGTGAAATCTGTGAATGATCACAGAGGTCACATGGTACAAGGCTATTCACAACAGCCTTGTACCATGTGACAAGCTGTGACCAATCACAGCTCACTCAGTATTTCTCAATGACTGCAAGAATGCAGCCAGAGAGAAAGAGAAATGATTGCTTTTACATCCTATATGGGTGTAAAAGCAATCAGTGTAAAAAAAAAAAAAAAAAAAATCTTCATCACCCCCCACAAGTAGTACAGTGTCACCATGGTGACACTGTACTGCTAGGGTGACAGTATGTAAAAATAAAAAATAAAAATAAAAAATAATATAAAAAAAAATAAAATAAAAATGTAAAAAAAAATGTTTAAAAATTATAATGTTTGGTTATAAACTAATTTGGATTTTTTTTTTTACTAAAAAAATAACGGAATAAATTTTGGCCAAGATTTAGGATGAAATATTATTTATTTGCAAAATTTTATATAAAAAAAACACTTTTTTTCAAAATTTTTGGACATTTTCATTTACATAGTAAAAAAAATAAAAAATCCCAGCGGTGAATAAATACCACCAAAATAAAGCTTTATCTGTCTCAAAAAAAATGGTAAAAAATTCATATGGGTACAGTATTGCATGACCGTGCAATTGTCATTCAAAGTGTGATAGCGCTGAAAGCTGAAAATTGCCCTGGACAGGAAGGGGGTAAAAGTGTCCGGACAGGAAGTGGTTAACACCAGTAATAGCAAAACCGTTTTTTTTTTAATCCCCATAATGAGCGGTTTCGGGGTTAAATCGTGGCAGCGAATGAAACCGATGGTCGAAGTTTCAGAGCCGAGCGGTCAGAACGGAACACGCTCTACTCCCCCGCCGGCCTTTTTTTTTTTTTTTTTTTTTAACAAATCGACATCTTTTGTTATCATTATCCCTAATAATCGGTGATTGAGTTACTTGGAATTAATTGTCTGGAAATGACACGGCGGCGGGAAAACAGATTGGCGATGTTGGGAAACAGATGCGGCGCTAATGTTATCGGGAACATGAATATTTATGGGAAATAATTGAACGGTGATTGTAGGCGATGTACCTGGGAGATTGGCGCCGCTCACACGATCTCCGCACTATGGGGGGGCTGAAGAGCGGGAAACCTTCTCGGAGATCGGGGCGTATTTCACGGCGGTCCGTACCTTTTTTTTTTTTTTTTTAACCCCCCGCTCTGGGTAGATGCGTGCGGGCGTTTATATCTGGCTTATTCCGGTCACAATTTAGTGATTTTAGGGCCCTTTTACGCTAATCCACTTATAAAGACGGCATGCGTTTTACAAAAATGCGTACCGCGTTTTTTGCGAGTTTTCAATGCATTTTTGGTGCGTTTTCTGGATTCCTGTTTCCCAGCATGCACCTGTGTCGTTGTTAGTTTCAGTGTCAGTGTTATGCCTCTTGCACACTGCAGCTTGGAAAAGCTCAAATGTGAAATGTAGCCCATTATTTACAATCTGCCTGTACACACAGGCAGGTAAACAAGCGCCGCGTATTCCTCAGTCCAGGACAGGAAGGAGCTGTGAAAACGTTTCATTTGGGGTGGACTTCGCACAAATGGCCTTCAAGTAGGGAGGAGCCTAAATGCAGATTTTCCAAATAAGAGTTTTTTTTTTCTTATAAAGGTGGCCTAATTCTTTAAGCATTATATGTACACTAGATTGCCAAAAGTATTGTCCCCGCCCTCCCAATCATGTGATTCAGGTGTTCCAATCCCCTCCCAATGATTCAGGTGTTCCAATCCCTCCCAATCATGTGATTCAGGTGTTCCAATCCCCTCCCAATCATGTGGTGTTCCATTCCCAGTGATTCAGTTCCACCTCCCCACGTGATTCCCAATCATGTGATTCAGGTGTTCCAATCCCCTCCCAATCACGTGATTCAGGTGTTCCAATCCCCTCCCAATCATGTGATTCAGGTGTTCCAATCCCCTCCCAATCATGTGATTCAGGTGTTCCAATCCCCTCCCAATCATGTGATTCAGGTGTTCCAATCCCCTCCCAATCATGTGATTCAACTGTTCCAATCCCCTCCCTATCATGTGATTCAGGTGTTCCAATCCCCTCCCAATCATGTGATTCAGATGTTTCAATCCCCTCCCAATCATGTGATTCGGGTGTTCCAATCCCCTCCCAATCATGTGATTCAGGTGATCCGATCCCCTCCATGGACACAGGTGTATACAATCAAGCCCCTAGGCATGCAGACTGCTTCTACAAACATTGGTGAAAGAATGGGTCGCTCTCAGGAGCTCAGTGACTCCAAGCGTGGTCCCGTGATAGGTGGCCACCTGGGCAATAAGTCCATCCGTGACATTTCCTGGCTACTAAATATTCCACGCTCAACTGTTAGTGGGATTACAACAAAGTGGAAGCAACTGGGAACAACAGCAACTCAGCCACCAAGTGGTAGGCCACGTCACATGACAGGGCGGGGTCAGCGCATGCTGAAGCGCACAGTGCGCAGAAGTCTCCAACTGTCTGCAAAGACAATAGCTAAAGACCTCCAAACTTGGTGTGGCCTTCAGATGAGCCCAACAACAGTGCGTAGAGAGCTTCATGGAATGGGTTTCCATGGCCGAGCAGCTGCATCCAAGCCTTCCATCACCAAGTGCAATGCAAAGCGTTGGATGCCGTGGTGTAAAGCACGCCGCCACTGGACTCTAGAGCAGTGGAGACGTGTTCTCTGGAGGAACCAATCACACTTCTCTGTCTGGCAATCCGATGGATGTGTCTGGGTTTTGTGGTGGCCAGGAGACCGGTACTTGCCTGACTGCATTGTGCCAAGTGTAAAGTTTGGTGGAGGGGGGATTATGGTGTGGGGTTGATTTTCAGTGAAGGGAACTCTTAAGGCGACATTTTGGACAATTTCATGCTCCCAGCTTTGTGGGAAGAGTTTGGGGATGGCCCCTTCCTGTTCCAACATGACTGCACACCAGTGCACAAAGCAAGGTCCATAAAGACATGGAGGAGCCAGTTAAAGGTCATCTGCATGGAAAGGGCGGGGCCAACTCAACATTGAACCCTACGGACTAAGACTGGGGGGCCATTAAAGGTCATGTGCATGGAAAGGGCGGGGCCAACTCAACATTGAACCCTACGGACTAAGACTGGGGGGCCATTAAAGGTCATGTGCGTGGAAAGGGCGGGGCCAACTCAATATTGAACCCTACGGACTAAGACTGGGAAGCCATTAAAGGTCATGTGCGTGGAAAGGGTGGGGCCCACTCAATATTGAACCCTACGGACTAAGACTGGGGGGCTATTAAAGGTCATGTGCGTGGGAAGGCTGGCGGCCTGATTCTGCGGGCGATATACAGGTAGTGTGTATTCAAAACATAAAAAGAAGTTTTCAACCACTGGCCAGGGCTACAGGGTGGCCGCTGTACCCAGAATCATATATATCTGTAATTCTGCTTTTCAGGGTAGGGGGCGCACGTCTTTTCCGCACTGTCATTGGCTCCAGTAGTCATCAATCACTGGGTCCCGGACGGCAATTCATGGCCGAGATTCGGCGATCAGCAGAGCGGCTGACAGGAGAGAGATCTGTCAAATTGAAATTGCTCCCTAACACACACTCAACCCTTTGATCGCCCCAGATGTTAACCCCTTCCTGCCCAGTGTCATTAGTACAGTGTCAGTGCTTTTTATTAGCACTGATCACTGTATTGGTGTCACTGGGCATGTCAGTGGCAGTTAGTCAGTTCCCACCCCAGTGTCAGTTAGTGTCAGGATGCCCATCATACTATCGCAGTCCCGCTATAAGTCGCTGATTGCCACCATTACTAGTATAAATATAAAATAAATACAAAATTCCAACATATATATATATAAAATGATTGTTTGAAGGCGCTATCATTTTCACGCAAACCAATTAATAAACACTTATTGGGATTTTTTTTTTTTACCAAAGTCGTGCAGCAGAATACATTTTGGCTTAAATTTATGAAGACTTTTTTTTATTGGATACTTTTTTTTAGCAAAAAGTAAAAAAAAAGTTTTCTTTTTTAATTTTTGGCCTTTTTTAGTTTATAACGCAAAAAAAGTGGTGATCAAATACCATCTATTTGTGTGAAAAAAAATATGATATGAATTTCATTTGTGTACAGTGTTGCATGACCGCGCAATTGTCAGTTAAAATAGCGCAGTGCTGCTGAATAGCAAAAAAAATGACCTGGTCGTGAAGGGGGGGGGGGGTAAATTTTCCAGAGGTCAAGCGTTTAAAACACAAAATTCCAAACGAGTATACAAAGTAACTGGTTTATTATACAAAATGTGTATTTACAGATTTGGCGAAACTGATCAATTTTTAACATGTAAAAAAAAAAAAAAAACATAATAAAAAAAAAACCAAAAAACGAATATTGCCTACAGTTCTCCATACGACAGGAGCTGCACTCAGGTACAATTTTGGGGATTTATACAGACTATGTAGAGGAGAGGAATTTATTACAACAGAAGGAAACAAAAGCAAACCAGCCTGGATCGCTGTCTCATCTCTGCGTCAAATAATAATTAGAGATGAGCGAATCGAACTTGGCGAAGTGGAATTCGTTTCGAATATTAGGAAAAATTCGATTCGCACCGAATCCGAATTTTAGCAAACTTCGGATGCACGAATCGAATTTTCCCCGATCAGCCGGCAAAAAGTGTCACTGCAGAGAGCTCCGCTATTTCTGACAGTTCTCTGACAGTTCCTTCACATTTACAGCGGTTGAAACATTGTATCTATTTGTTTCCATTTAGGATACAGATGTTTTTATTCGGAAACAAATAGATACAATGTTTCAACCGCTGTAAATGTGAAGGAACTGTCAGAGAACTGTCAGAAATAGCGGAGCTCTCTGCAGATACACTTTTTGCTGTACTGGAATTCTTCTTCTTTTCATTCTTCTTCTTCTTTTCATTCTTCTTCTTCTTCTTCTTCTTTTCATTCTTCTTTTCATTCTTCTTCTTCTTCTTTTCATTCTTCTTCTTCTTCTCATTCTTCTTCTCATTCTTCTTCTTCTCATTCTTCTTCTTCTTCATTCTTCTTCTTTCTCTTCTTCTCCTTCTTCTCTTCTTCTTCTTCTTCTTCCCCCGTGACTGCCCAAATGAGTGAAGTGTGCGGTGATTCTAAGATCGACAGCACTCATCTGCATGTCATACTGACTGACAGTATTATTTCTCTTCCCCAGCAGACTCCAAGGGCATTTAAATTAAAGGTACAGTGTTCTGCACTAATATAAAGGCTCTCTGAAGCCTAGAAACCCTTTTAATAAGTTAAATTCGCAGCGAATAAATTCGCATCGAATCGAATTTCTCCCGCAAATTCGGCGAATCAGCCGAATCAAATTTTTTAATAATTCGCTCATCTCTAATAATAATAATAATAATACAAAAAAAAAATTTAAGTGTTAGCGGTCATTTTGTGAGCAGACCTGGGAGTCTGATGCCGGCCATAGACAGGTCAAAAATTAACCGATTTTTTGGCTGGAAAAAAAATCGTCTGATTTTCGCACCGTTAGTGGGTTAATTGGGTTAATTGGCTTTTTACACATCTTTTTTTATCAGGCATGTTGGAAAATTTGTGGCTGCTTTTGACGATCGGGCAATTCACCCGGCAATGATGGGCAAATCGGTCAATCGTTTTACCGATAAAAAAATCTGCGCATGAGCCGTGTTCTGCAAGAAGAAGGAGAAAAAGAAGAAAGAAGAAGGAGAAGGAGGAAGAAGGAGAAGGAGGAAGAAGAAGAAGAAAGAAGAAGGAGAAAGAGGAAGAAGAAGAGAAGGAGGAAGAAGGAGAAGGAGAAGAAGAAGAAGAAAGAAGAAGAAGAAGAAGAAGAAAGAAAAAAGAAGGAAGAAGAAGAAAGAAGAAGAGGAAGAAGGAAGAAGAAAAAGAGGGAAGCAGAAAAAGAAGGAAGAAGAGGAAGAAGGAAGAAGAGGAAGAAGGAAGAAGAGGAAGAAGAAGAGGAAGAAGAATTCCAGTCCGAAAAGTCTTGCGGTTGCAACAAATGTATCTATTTGTATCCGAATAAAAACATCTGTATCCGAAATGGATACAAATGGATACATTGTTGCAACCGCAAGACTTTTTCATGTCAAATATAATAGCGGAGCTCTCTGCAGGGACAGAAGTAATTATGGGGTTAAATGCCGGCTGTAGACGGGATGAAATATGGATGATTTTTTTGCCGTTGGTGGTAACGGCGGCCGATCGAACGACCGATTTTTTTTTTTTTTTTTAAGAAAACGTCCTTTTTTCGACCTGTCTATGGCCTGCTTTATTCTAAAAAAATTGCATAGCCATTCATCCAGCAGATTTACATTCATTCTGTGCGATTTGGGCAAAGAGAAATGTTCTTTTATTACGGGCAGTAGAAGAGCCGAGGAGCAGAAGAAATACATGTTTCTTTGTCACAAAAACAGACAATGTAACATTTCTAGAGAACACTAGAGGGAACGAATTGTAAACAACACTTACGGTGACTTTTTACCTGCACTAGTTCAGAAATATCAGTGAATTAAAAAATGGAAGAAAATCAAATACAGCCGAAACAACAAAGATACTCCCTTGGAGAGCCGCCACTTGTGGTTGCATGAGCTACTGGAAAGATGAGCGCAGTATGCTTGCGGCACAATCACATGAAAACCTGCACTCCAAGGACCAGAATTAATGTCTCCGGAAGCCACGCCCAACGCGTTTCGTCATAGACAATGGATGTCCTCGAGAAACAGTGTTTCCAGCTAAGCACTGAGCACTTTAAAGTATGAACTGGAGACATAGAGACTTTATAATTTTTCACAATTTACAGTTGAATTACCATAATTTATTTACCTTATTTTTGCACAAATAGGTTAGCGTTGTGATTGTTTACAGGTATCAATGTGTACATTCCTTTCCTAATTCCCTCCAGCGTTCTCTAGCCACTTCCAGTCGGGACACTTTCACCCCCTTCCAGTCGGGACACTTTCACCCCCTTCCAGTCTGGACACTTTCCCCCCCTTCCAGTCTGGACACTTTCCCCCCCTTCCAGTCTGGACACTTTCCCCCCCTTCCAGTCCGGACACTTTCCCCCCCTTCCAGTCCGGACACTTTCCCCCCTTCCAGTCCGGACACTTTCACCCCCTTCCAGTCCGGACACTTCCCCCCCTTCCAGTCCGGTCACTTTCACCCCCCTTCCAGTCCGGACACTTCCCCCCCTTCCAGTC